TTCCATTCAAAGAAAATGGGTACTTTTTGACCTACTAAACAGGAATGAAAAATATTTGACGAGTACCAAAATTAACATCTACTTATCTTTATACTAGAATCTATAAAATTAATACCTAGTAATCTATTTATGTGAAAGAAATGTAAGATAATGATAAATTTTTGCAAAAATTGAGTTTTTCTGTGGTTACAAGAGTCTAGATAAATTGTAGCTGTTGAATTCACATTCCAATTACACAGCTATCCAAATAATGAATGAAAGTTTTGTCACTGTCGGAAAGGTACCAATTTTTAAATGTTTTTAAGGAAGATGTTAAAACCCTAATCTTGGAAGACTAGTCCCATCTTTACAAAATTCTTGTTTTGACGAGGCTATAGAGTCCCTTCACTATATCTTCTCTTAGATAAGGAGGGGGGCTTCTTTCTCTTTAGAACATATGATTTCAACTCTTGGAAAGATATACTGGTTTAGTAAGAGCGTTGTTGGTTCTTTTACGAATGATTTGTTTTGGATTATAAATATTATAAATATATATACAATTTCTCACCTCAGTGTTTGAAGATGCAAAAAGTTAGCACAGCTTGTTTTTCTTGTCCAAAACACGAATTATCATTTAAACTATGTACACAACTTTAATACAACAGCTCAATAAAGGGGATAAGCTAAAACATAGCAAATAGACAAGCCAGGCTACAAAGCAAATGTAAACACAATAGAAATATTAGCTGTTCTGCGTGAGTGCAAATATATCGTTGAATATATGGCCGATTAAGTGCAAACAAAATGTCGTCTTATAAGTTCATTATACTCTGTCACAATTTCGACAGATCGTTTACCCCACTCCTAAAGTAAACATTAATCGATCTAGTAAGGGAGGTTTAGAACCATAAAGAGGTGTTTGACTTGAGTTTTGTTGGATCTCAACTATTGTAGTTTTTCCAGTCTGGTTTTTAGATACACACGTGCTCTAGAGAAGCCAGAGGTTTAATGAACTGATCATCGAAACTGTAAAAGCATTCACTACGATTAGAGAAAATTATTGTTCTTTCTTATTTTTATTCCCAATCTTGTTAGAAGAGCACAACACATTTAAATTCTGCTCCAAACGCACTCTTTTCGTTGGGTACAATAAGCCACTAACAAACTTACTTCTTCAATAGTTAGAGTACTAGCTTACATTTCACTGGAAGTTATTGGCATAAAAACTAAAAATGAAAATAAAATAAGATAAAATAAAATAAGTTTTCGATTTATGTTCTGACGTTGTATACTCTGAAGAGTGTCAGACGAAAAGCTTCAGAAACATGTTTCAAAAGTTCGTCTTTTTCAAAGCCATTTTGGAAATGAAATATATAAATATAGCGAAATGATTGTTTCACAGAAAGGCTGTAGTGCTACATCAAATAAAACAATGATAAAAGAACATTTGGATATATCCTTCTTGTTTGACATTTTATTCGTCAATTATTCTACCAGAAAGATAACAAACTCTCTTTTGGCATTTTCTTTTCACGAAGTTATTTAATATATCAACATATTTGTTTCCCAGGTGATAAATATTTCACTCATAAATAGCTAGCAAAATATAGTATCGCTGTTGATCTATGCATACAGACAAGAGAGCACTCTTTCATAATTTCCAAATAACATCTTATTCTATTCTAAAGGATTTCATAGGCCTGCCCTTTCTATATGCTTAATATCCTTATAGACAAACAAATTTTTTGATCACACAACATTTAAACACAATGACTCATTAATTATGAACCTTGATAATTTTTTTCCTTTCAGGCGAAACGTGCAAATATATCAACAGTCATTTTACCAGAAGGCAACAAAAAAGACTATGACAACTTGCAAAGTTTCATAAAACAAAACTTAGAAGTGCATTTTGTTAGTAACTACAATAAGGTATACGAAATAGCACTGAATTATTCGGAAAACAATGCAGAGCAAGACAACAGCTCGTAGAATTATATATACTATTATTAGCTATTTACTTCCGATTTAATTCTATAAAACATTAAAGTTGGGTATTTTACAATCTTTAATGTAAATCTCAAAACCTGCCTATAACCTTCACCGAGTATATTTAGTATCAGCTTTAGATAATACCCTTGGAGAAGTATGTAATTAATCAAGAAAATAAGATTTGTAGGCAAAATAAACGGAAAAGAAGCCCAGTGTTTCTAAATTATCGATAAGCCGAACGTTATATTTTCCAGATTTTTTCTAGATCCGGGAAACCAGTTTCCTTTTTCAAATGCCAAAAATTTTCAATTCTCTAAATAACAAGATGAATGCCCCTTGCAACACCCGGCGATGCGATAACGTTTTCATCGTTCAATGGGCTAGTCTTCCCTTTGTTCTTTCACTAGATCATTTTGCTTAAAGGAAAACAAAGGATTGAGTTGGGGCTACTCCATAGAATATAAAAACTACAATGATTAAACAAGTGTGGATTATACACAGGTTTTTATGGTCCTCGTAATTATTTACAAGAATTACATCCCGCAGGTAGACTTTTTATCCATTAAGTAGATGGTATACAGTTAATCCGTACTTTATATATGTATAAATTTCATCTGTATTAGCGAATGCGAGAGAAAAATATGAGTCTGACGAGCGAGGTCTGAAGTCATCCTTGAGTGATTCCTTCGCAACTTTTATGCCTTGGCTACTTTTGATATCTCTTTTTATCAAAATTTCTTTCACTGGCTTTTTCTAACAAATTTTATACAGTTACAGCTACATCAAATTTATTCTTCCCCAACAATTTAACTTAATGCAGTTCTTTGTCAACATGGATTCTTCTTCTATATTTTTTTAGTATTGTCAATTTTTGCGTCCGTAATAAATGTCGTCGTTTTCTTTGCCTTTTTAGCTAGCTTTTTCTTTAAAATATAATAAGTGCCTCTGATTTTCCATATGACCAAAAAGCAGTTGTTTGAAAACAGTAAAGATATCTTCTTTCGTCAACACGTATCGACGAAGGAGCTTTACTACCCAGAATGCTATTCGCCTTTCGTGTGATTAAAAACATGGCTTCGAAGAAAGTTGTTTTCGTCATAAGCGGCTCACGTGTTATAGTTATTCCAAGAAAATTGATATTTACTATGCGACAAGATGTTAGATAAATATATTGTAATGTTGAACAGTTAAAGGCCGAAGGTATGTCTTTGTTGCTACTGTTATTTTATAAACGCCATATGATGTCAGGCCAGCTTCTGATCAATCCCTGTGGTGTTTTTAGCGCCGTCTTTTCTGTAAGTTATGTTCTAAAATTACATTGCATAACTAGAGAAAAAGAGAATTGGGATTATTTCATAGGATGTTGTTCGCCAGTTGCCACTCTCTAGAGAGTGGCAAATATTGATCGCTGTGTCATATAGGGCTCTTGATTGCAATCTCTCAGATTTGTTTTTCAAAATTATTAAAACTCTTTTGAGTAAAAAACTCGTAAAGAGATTAATTTCTCAGGTTGAAAACAATAAAAAAGGAATTCTTTGAATTTAAAAATATTATTTACTTCAGAAGACACTTCCATTGGCATGTCACATTTTTATGCTCAGTGATGTTTTGTGTTTGTTCTTGTCTGTTGTTTGTGGCGTTTAGAATCATTTTGTTTTGCGTGTTGTAGAGTGTTGAATAGACTTTAAGCAACAAGAAGGGCTATTTTTTAGTGGAAGTTTATTTTTATCTATCACTTTGTTATCTTAGGTTCTTAATCGATTTTTGCCATCTTTCAAATCGGGTGTTGAGCCTTCACTTCCGCATTTGGCTGTTGGTGCCTTGGTAAAAATCGATCAATAATCACATATAAAGCCCTAGACCAGGGATTCTTAATTATTTTAAATGCCGGGCCAGAAAAACATATAGAATTTCTTCGGGGGCCAGTTGGTTTTCAACTTTTACATACCTTGTGTAGGCTGCTCAAAATGAAACTCAGATCTCATTTTTACCAGGCTAAGTTAGTGATAAAATAGACAGGCCTTTTATTTCGTGCCTGCCTATCTTATCTACCTTCGCATAAACCCAAAGAATAGTTTCACAAAGGTCTGTAACTTTATGTTTCTTGTACCAGGCTGAGTAAGGAAATCGTTCTATGCTATTTTTGGGCTAGAACGTTCATCATCGTTAGTCTCTTGTTGGGTCGATTTGAAGTGCCTGAAGTCAGGTCAAGGGACTGCACAGCGTATTTTAAAGAAAGGTCAAAATCTTATGTTTGTGGATGTATTTAGTCAAGGCCACCTCCATGGTTGGTGGCAAGAAAAATTTTAGGCTATATTAATCTAGGAATGGCCAGAAACAATACCTCAGTTAGATTTTAACGAGAGAAAATTCAAGGCATATTCTTGACTAGGTTTCATAGTTTTATCTGTTGATATGAAAAAGGAAACAAGGCATTTCCTATTTTGTTATTCCCTTTTGGACTAATAACTGTCCATGGACTGCATTTAAAATTTATTAAAGAGAAAAAAAATATATCAGAGGAGACAAAGGAAAACCAAAGATAAATTGAATTCCAGATTTTGAAAATGTTGGCAAAAAATATTTTTGAGGTAAAATGTATTCAGCAGGCAGAATGACATTTTGCTGTGGGCCGGAGATGACCCGCAGGTAGGGGTTTAAGAATGCCTGCCCTAGACCTAAGATATAACTTGATTGATTCAAGTAACAAGGCAGCTTATCCCCACCAAGGAGCTGATGCACCATCCTACCTTAGTTGCATAAAGTATGAGAGGGGAAGAGAAACAAAACTTAAAGAGCCAAGTCTACCCTTAATGAAATCATAATAATCTGTTATTTGAATCCTGTTATGTGAATAAGCCCAAACCCCTATGAGGTAAAATTATAGAGGATTTGAAGAAACACACTTTACTTTAAACCAGAAGGGGAGAGAGGGACAGGAGAAGAGAACAGCCTGGCAAGAGCATACATAAAAAACAAGAAGCCCTATCCAAAACACTTGCTTACACTCTCTGTAACAACTTTCACCCAAGAAATCCCAACTACAACTTCACCATTATTCCCAAAGGCATCAAAACAGCAAATTGAGGCTTAATAGCATAACTTTACACCTAAATTTGATTAATAAAATTGAAAGAAAATAAGAACCCTTAATGATTTCAAATTCTATAACATCTCTCATCAAGTGGATGAAAATTTTATTTGAATATGAATGTAAAAGTGAATCAGCCTTTAAATGTAAAGGTCGATAACCATTACAAGAAATTATTGAGCAAATACTCCAAGACCCCAACAGAATGGTTAAAAGTTTTGATATAAGATTTTTAAAAACAGCATTGAAACTAATAAAAATCAATGCCAGTTTGTGAAATATTATATACTAAAATTTTGATGATCTACATGATATATAAATTCATGTCTAAATTTGTTTTATGTAGAGTCATGGATATTTGCATCCTGCTTTGATTTCTGTGGTATTTTGTCTTGATTGGAAAACTTTGGAACCAAAAGCCAGGTAGTTAATTATGATATAGCATTTGCCAAGAAATATAATTTAATGTATCTTTCAAATCTGTTGTATCTTTCATTTAATGTAATCTACCTTTCGAATCAAGTATTTTAAAAAAAAATTTTAAAATGTGAAGCAAACTAAAAGAGCTATCAACAAATAAGACTTTTTCCAGTGTATCATATGTTGTTTCCACCAAAGTTGAATATAATTTTCTTTAAATAAATGCTGTCTTGATGATAGAAACAGCCCTCCTTGCACTCCTGCAAGCAATCAGATGCTTTGCAATTCACACTTACCATTCCTTGCTGTCCTCAAAAAGATTTTGCAATCTAAGGACATCAATATCATTTTTAATTTTCTCTATTGTTTTAAATCTTGCTTAATTAATGCTCTGAATTTAGTCACTGTTCCTAAAAGAATGTTAATTTTCTGTTTGGAAAACCTCATTTTCTTTTGTGCCAGAAAGATTTCATAGATTCATCTTTTAACTGAATGTATTTTGCCAAAATGCTCTGTAATTTTCCTTTGTAGACCTAGCCTTGAAAAGATTTTGCTCTTTAAAGCATAGCAAAGATGGAAACCAGATTATCTGTGATTAAATTGATCTTTTGATATCAGAGTCTATGTCAGCAGTGATTCGTTAGAGCATAATGGTCCAAGGAATTTTTCCAGCCGAAATGAGAATGATGACTTTATATTCACTCTTGTTGTAGTTATGTTTTTATACAATTCAGAGGACTTGGTCCTTAAATTTTTTTTAGGGCAAGCCCCTGAATCCCCTCCCTTCATCAATGCCCATTGTTTTTAATTGTTTGCTTCATTCATCATTCAAATGTTCCTCTGAATCAATTTTCATTAAATAGTTATAATTTTTGGCAGGATAAAAGTCCCTGACATCCCCAAACGAAACCAGAAAGTTACCCACTTTCTTCTACTGTTATATAATTTCAAATCAAGAGTAGACAGTCTTGAATTCCTCACAAAAATGTCCTTTTTATAGAAATTTAGGCCGAGATTGCCATTAATAAAATTTCAATAATAAAATTTCTTTTTCCATCAGATACTGATAGAGATTAGCCCACAAAATGAATATATTATAAAACTTTTCTTCCGTCTGCAGATAATTTGTCAACTAATTCTTTACTTCATTTATATAGCCTTTGATAAAGGGCGTGTCTGTGTGGATTTCTTATTTCGGCTCCCTCACTTCTGATCTGTTTCATAAGTAGCTTGATGTAGGACACATCTGAATATTGTTTTGTGGATTTTAAAGCTATGACTAAAATATTGAAAGTTTAGGAAAAATTTAGGCAATATCCTCACTTGTTTAATTTATCCAAATTCTTGCAAACTAAGCCTGCAATGTGATGCCAATCAAAGTCCAATGTAAATATTTATATATTACTTTTAACTACTGTGACATTACCTTCACTGATGCTACTTTTGCAAGCATTTTGAAGATATCCACTTAGCAACGATACTACCCTCCCTTAGCTCTTTCCAACCAATGTCAATTTTTTGGCAATTCAGTTTTGAAAACAAAATTGTTTTGCTTTTTAGAACGTTGAAAAAATGTTAACAATGAAACAGCCATCTAGGATGTCGATACTTTGATTGAAACGACTTTTTAATTTCAGACTTTCTCGATAACGTTCTCCAGATCTCTTTTAATGATAAACAGTTTGTTTGGTTTTCTTCAGTCCTTTAGGTCTTGCTTTTAGCTCTGGACTCTGTTCTTTTGGACAAAATTCCAGAAACTTTCATTTTCTTGAACCTTTATTGAAATATTTTTCAACCACTTCCAATTTTATTTTTTTGTTAAAATCCTAGGGCTCACAAATTCCTCTTCAGAGCTCCATCAATATAGCCAGTTGATGCTTTGAACACCTAGAAATTGGATATGAATGGGATCTGGACTAAAACCTTCATAAGAACTTGTATGACTTTTGCAGGTATGTCGGTTCCCTTTCCTTCAAATTCCAAACTTACAAACTTAAATAGCGTGGATCCTTGAGCTTTTTTTCTGAAGTGCAGACCTTTAATTCTGAAGTGCAAACCTTATACTTTCCAAGGAAAATTATTTTTTTTCAAATTACCATTATATTTCAAAGTATAGTTTTTCCTTGAGAATTAAATTCTATTCATAACTTACTATGCGTTACTTTTGATGAAAAGTTTCTTACTGTTGTTAGCTTTGTAAAAACAATTCTCTAAAAACCACTTTTATTTTTATTTCCTTTCGCATGAATTTCTCTTTCTAACTTACTGCTGGTAGCTCTTTTGAAAAGCTTCTCTAAAAACCACTTTTATTTTTATTTCCTTGCGTATTAACTTTCGTTTATCACTTACTATAACTTACTCTGTTTTTGAGTTTCTCAAAAAGCCAACATGTCAATTTTTATTGCCAAGTTCCTGTGGAGAGCTTTGCGTTAGTGTTTCCCTAAAAGCCTTTGTTGTTTTTATTTTATTGCCTGTCAATTTTATTGCTACGTTGCTGTAGGGAGCTTTCCTTTAAAGTTTCTCTAAAATCCTTATTTCTCTTTATTTTACTGCCTGTCAATTTTTTTTATTACGTTGCTGTAGGGAGCTTTGCTTTAGAGTTTCTCTAAAATCCTTCTTTCTCTTTATTTTACTGCCTGTTAATTTTTATTGCTATGTTCCTGTAGGGAGCTTTGCTTTAGAGTTTCTCTAAAATCCTTTTTTCTCTTTATTTTCCTGCCTGTCAACTTTTTTTATTACGTTGCTGTAGGGAGCTTTGCTTTAGAGTTTCTCTAAAATCCTTCTTTCTCTTTATTTTTCTGCCTGTTAATTTTTATTGCTATGTTCCTGTAGAGAGCTTTGCTTTCATGTCTCTCTAAAGTCCTTTTTTCTCTTTATTTTCCTGTCTGTCAATTTTTTTTATTACGTTGCTGTAGGGAGCTTTGCTTTAGAGTTTCTCTAAAATCCTTCTTTCTCTTTATTTTCCTGTCTGTCAATTTTTTTTATTACGTTGCTGTAGGGAGCTTTGCTTTAGAGTTTCTCTAAAATCCTTCTTTCTCTTTATTTTACTGCCTGTTAATTTTTATTGCAATGTTCCTATAAGGAGCTTTCCTTTAGAATTTCCCTAAAATCCTTCGTTCGCTTTATTTTACTTACTGTCAATTTTTGTTGCTACGTTGCTGTAGGAAGCTTTGCTTTAGAGTTTCTCTAAAATCCTTCTTTCTCTTTATTTTACTGCCTGTTAATTTTTATTGCTATGTTCCTGTAGGGAGCTTTGCTTTAGAGTTTCTCTAAAATCCTTTTTTCTCTTTATTTTCCTGCCTGTCAACTTTTTTTATTACGTTGCTGTAGGGAGCTTTGCTTTAGAGTTTCTCTAAAATCCTTCTTTCTCTTTATTTTTCTGCCTGTTAATTTTTATTGCTATGTTCCTGTAGAGAGCTTTGCTTTAATGTCTCTCTAAAATCCTTTTTTCTCTTTATTTTCCTGTCTGTCAATTTTTTTTATTACGTTGCTGTAGGGAGCTTTGCTTTAGAGTTTCTCTAAAAATCCTTCTTTCTCTTTATTTTCCTGTTCTGTCAATTTTTTTTATTACGTTGCCTGTAGGGAGCTTTGCTTTAGAGTTTCTCTAAAATCCTTCTTTCTCTTTATTTTACTGCCTGTTAATTTTTATTGCAATGTTCCTATAAGGAGCTTTCCTTTAGAATTTCCCTAAAATCCTTCGTTCGCTTTATTTTACTTACTGTCAATTTTTGTTGCTACGTTGCTGTAGGAAGCTTTGCTTTAGAGTTTCTTTAAAATCCTTCTTTCTCTTTATTTTACGGCCTGTTAATTTTTATTGCTATGTTCCTATAAGGATCTTTCCTTTAGAGTTTCTCTAAAATCCTTCGTTCTCTTTATTTTACTGCCTGCCAATTTTTCGTTCTACATTCCTGTACGGAGCTTGTCTTAGAGTTTCTCTAAAATCCTTCCTTCTCCTTTTTTACTGTATGTCAATTTTTATTGTTATGTTTCTGTAAGGAGCTTTGCTTTAGAATTTCCTTAAGACCCTATGTTCTCTTTATTTTACTGCCTGCCAATTTTCAATGCTAAGTTGCTGTAGGGAGCTTTGCTTTAGAGTTTCTCTAAAGTCCTTTTTTCTTTTTATTTTACTGCCTGTCAATTTTTGTTGCTACGTTGCTGTAGGAAGCTTTGCTTTAGAGTTTCTCTAAAATCCCTGTTTCTCTTTATTTTACTGCCTGTTAATTTTTATTGCAATGTTCCTATAAGGAGCTTTCCTTTAGAGTTTCTCTAAAATCCTTCGTTCTCTTTTTTTTACTGTATGTCAATTTTTATTGCTACGTTCCTGTACGGAGCTTTGCTTTAGAGTTTCTCTAAAATCCTTCGTTCTCTTTTTTTTTACTGTATGTCAATTTTTATTGCTATGTTCCTTTAGGGAGCTTTGCTTTAGAATTTCTCTAAAATCCTTCGTTCTCTTTTTTTTACTGTATGTCAATTTTTATTGCTATGTTGCTGTACGGAGCTTTCCTTTAGAGTTTTTCTAAAATCCTTCGTTCTCTTTTTTTTACTGTATGTCAATTTTTATTGCTACGTTCCTGTACGGAGCTTTGCTTTAGAGTTTCTCTAAAATCCATTGCTGTTTTTATTTGTTGCCTTTCAAATTTTATTGCTACGTTGCTGTAGGGAACTTTGCTTTAGAGTTTCTCTAAAATCCATTGCTGTTTTTATTTGTTTCCTTTCAATTTTTATTGCTACGTTGCTGTAGGGAGCTTTGCTTTAGAGTTTCTCTAAAATCCATGGCTGTTTTTATTTGTTGCCTTTCAAATTTTATTGCTACGTTGCTGTAAGGAGCTTTTGCCTTTAGAGTTTCTCTAAAATCGATGGTTGTTCTTATTTCATTTTCTTTTTAAATTTTATTGTTACCTTGCTGTAGGATTTTTTGCATTTAGAAGAAAACTGTTTGTTCGAATAGGTTTTATATGAATTTTTTTTCTTTAGCACCCTGTTGAGCGGTTATTCAAAAAGTTTTCTCAAAATCTTTATTAACTTCTTACTGCTTGCGTATTGATTTGGATTGAAAAAATTCATAAATCTAATCTAGTCATTAATCGTTTCTCGGTCTCTTATTATGGTATGATTGCTATTTTCATCTAGTTTTCCAGGCTTTTTGTGCCTGATACCTCAGATTACAAAAAATTGGCAATAGGCAGTTGATTTAAAAAATATTATATTGCAGGGTATTAACCCAAAGATTTCATGATTTAATTCAAATTTTTGCCATGTATTTTTGTCACCCACAATATAAGCTCTCTGGGTGGGTTATTAAAACGTTCCTAGAGAATATTCCAAATTCTCAAAGCCTGCCGAGTTTTTTTTTTTTGTAAGTGGCCCTTGCCCTCTTTCACATATCCCTTTTGTGTAATAGAAAAAGCCCCCGAGATGTTTATCTTGAAACTCCAAATATTTATGTAATTTATTCACTGAGGCTGCTCCCTGTTCACCACCTTAAAAACAAAGGTATATCCACAGGGAAATGGGTTCGGAGCATTGCGCTGAGAACGCTACAAAAATTAGTGCCTCTGTGGAATACACAAACTACAAACTCTAATCCCGCCCACAACCAAACTTGCCAATCACGCCGCCCACTACTCCTTAAGGACACTTTCGACATCCACCAACAGTCTACACTTATCGGCGGCACATCAACACTTCGATGCATCAAAAAATAACACACCAATATTCTCGTAAGAAAAAAACCGACCAATTGAGGTAATTCATTAAGACGAAACTTAAGACATTCTACGCATCCTTAATAATTATAACTATACAACCCCACATTACAACATAAGATACAACAATGACAATTCGACGCTAATATCAAGGAACTGCACAGAAAACCGAAAAACAACGTTTATAAGATACGAAAAAAATCACTCAGAGAGGCAAGAAACCACAAATAGCCAATCACGTGCCTAATACTCCTTTTAGGTCATTCTCGATACCACAAAGTCGCTCAACTTCCTTGACACAGTTTTCAAATGCTACATCAAAACTGATGCATCAAAATAAACCTTTCAATCGCAATAAAGACCATTAGATATAAAACCACTAGAAAAAACTTCCCAAATGACTCTTCTAAGCTTTTATTTGAAAGTTTGCCAATTTATGATTTCGCGAAAAGCTTTTACTAAGGTTTTCGAACCTTAGTTTCTGCCTTTAAGACACAACAACGCAAGCAGCTCTCTGCAAGCCCCGCTGCTTTAAAACAAACCATGGTCTTTCATAACATCAAATTCAGAACAAAAAATGCTTGAAAATTGTTCTAAAGCCGCTTTCAAATATTACAATGGAAAACTTTGGCTGCTTGGCAAGGGGCGCCTTTGAAGGCGGACTCACCGCCTTGAAACCTACAGGTTCGTAAGTAAGGGTCTTCCTTCTTTTGAAGCAATGGAATTGCTGTAAGGGGTGCAAAAGCACCTCAAAAAAAACCAAACAACCACAGTCACCCTTTTAGCAACCATGTACCTCACGCATCCTTTCTTGCATGAAGCTTTTTAATTTTAAGGTAAACATTTCAGGCTAAAAGTTACATTTTCATTAAATTTCTCAGGAGAATTTTCGCTGTCGCAGACACCCAGTGGACACCGCATAAAAGATGATGTCGAGCTAGTCAACCAATGTAGCAAAGAGGCAACGCACATTGAAGGAAAAGGTTTACCACATGAACCCAAAGTCTCTAAACAGAAATCCCAAACAGACAACTTTCCTTGTATTGTAATCGTTAACAAGATTTTTGCAACACAAGCACAACACTCACGTTCAGAAAAATTCATCCGTAATGAGCATGTAAACTTGATTTCTCACGCTCGGCCTTAGTGTAACATCCTCTTTATGTAACATGTCCAGTCGCTTTTAGCTCACCGAAATGGAATGCCCCCCCTCGCCCTTAATGTGCCGCTATGTACCGAGCGGCGTGAGAGCGTACCGAATATTGTATCGGCCTGAACTGCCCAAAATTTAATAGGGGTAACTCTGAACGGAAAGCTGCAATTTGAGCCACTCTATTGTCGGGAAATGTATCAAAAGAAGCTCTTTAAGTTAACCATAACACAACCATCTATCGAATTCGCACTGATGGAACATAAGCGTCGATGCTACATAATCCAGGGCACATCGCAAGGGCAAGCCTCTTGTATTGGATGGGGAGTCGTGGACGACAAATTTACCTGATTATTAAACAATTACCTGAAATTCTTTAACATGCTGAAGCAAACCTTCTGCAATACTTCTTGTCAATACCTAAACGATGTGGCCATAATAAATTCGCAATTTTCAAATATGATTTTATACAGACTTTTATAATAGTTTTGTCAAATCTGTATATCGGGGAGGGCAAGGATATACCTACCCGAGCCCGCTACCATGGTTGCCGCACGACGGGACTAGAAATTTTTTCGAATTTTGATGCTTCCGTTCCCTGTGAACAATAACATCTTTTTTACACAAATTTTTACTAAGGCAATCCTCTTAATCCTATTAAAAATTATTTATGTGTTTTCCAAACAAAATCTTTG